GCACCTGAGTGACCGTGTTTCGGGCCAGCTGCTTGGCGGCGGAGTTGTCTATGAGGGTGGGGGACAGGTCCCTGGACGGAGGGCTCTGCAGACCACTGGCTTGCTGGTCCTGATCTGCTTGGGACTGGAATTTGTGCCGAGCTGCATGGAACCGCTGGTTGATCCCTACTTGGTAGGATGACTGGTAGCCGGGGCTGCTGGCTGAGGACCCCAACAGGCGCTTAGTTAGCACTGGTGATGAGCAAGGCGAGGACGTGAGGGAGGAGGACGCAGTGCTGCTGGGAGACAGTGAGCTACTGCTGGACGGCAGCTGACTCGGCACCGGGACCGGGTTCTCAATTCCCCCGGCACACCCACCATTCTCCACGGCTTTCTCATGGGCCAAGCCCACAGACTTCTCTCGTGGAGGCGTCTGGTTTTCCACACTGCTGCCTGTAACGGACTCCTTGGTCATTTGCATCTCTGGCTCAAAATGGCCATTGGCTTTTGCATAACAGTAACTGGGAGTGGTGGGACCGGGCAGCCCAGTGGTTGTTGTCTTGGCTACGCTGCTCCCATGGATTCTTTCTGCCTGAAAACCCTCCGTCTGGCAGAATACAGACACTAGCTTGGGAGGCTCGGTCACTGTGCCTTTAGACGTGGTCACTGGCTTCTTTGATTGCTCGTTAGAGCTACTATGCTGGTGAGAAGCTTCTAGATCCTTTACGATCTTCTTCAAACTTTCCATCTCTTCTTTCAGAGTTTTGGTCCGGTTCTCTTCCCGGTTCAGCTTTGCTCTCAGTTGTTCTCTTTCGATGTCGAACTCCGACAGCTGCTTCTCCACCCGGGCCTCCGTCTGCAGGCCCCGCTTCCGCTCGGCCGCCAGCGCTTCCTCCAGCGCACCCACCCGGCCCTTCTCCTTCTCCAGCTGCAGGCTCAGCTCCCCGGCCCGCTGGCCCTCCTCGGCCGCCTTGCTGCTGGCTTTCTTGCACTCGAGCACCAGCATGGACGAGAGCTGCTTGTGGCGGGCGCGCTCCTCCTCCAGCTGGCCCGACAGCTTCTTCTGCTCTTTCTCAAACTTCTTCACTTGGGACTTTTCAAATTCCAACTAGGAAGACAGATCACCACACATCTTGATTAGAGTAAAAACACACAGAGATACACTGAACAGGTAAACTAGAGTGCCCGGGCTAGCTCTTCTTACACACGGGATGACACGCATGTCACGTGCCTAGGTCAGATATTTCTTTTTTTTTTTTTTTTAATATATTTTATTGATTTTTTACAGAGAGAAAGGGAGAGAGATAGTCAGAAACATCGATGAGAGAGAAACATCGATCAGCTGCCTCCTGCACATCTCCCACTGGGGATGTGCCCGCAACCCAGGTACATGCCCTTGACCGGAATCGAACCCGGGACCTCTCAGTCCGCAGGCCGACGCTCCATCCACTGAGCCAAACCGGTTTCGGCCAGATATTTCTTTTTTTATAATATATTTTTATGGATTTCAGAGAGGGAGAAGGAGAGATAGAAACATCAATGGTGAAAATCACTGATTGGCTGCCTCCTGCACTCCTCCTGCCACTGGGGATCAAGCCCACAACCCGGGGATGTGCCCCGATCGAGAATCGAACCATGACCTCCTGGTTCATAGTTGATACTCAACCACTGAGCCACACCAGCCGGCTTAGACCAGATATTTCTGAAGTCAGGGCACAATTTAATCTCTTGGATGACTTAGGAGGCACCTCTAGTTCTTGGGAAGCCTCAGGGTTATTGGTGGGAATCTGAGCCACCATTGTGTTTCAGGTGCGGAGAGTTCAGCGGATCAGGACAGAGGACAGAGCACATGAAGGACGCTGTGATGAGAGCCGCTGGAGAAGAAACCTAACGCTTCAGCAGTAACTCTTTCTGGGCTTAAATGCAGATACGAGTAGTTGCATTTAAATCATACTTTTTATACAAATGCAGTCTGTTTTAATCATTATCCCAACCCTATTTAAAGGGAAAGGTTCAGGAACCCTTTTAGTCAGTATATGTCAAATGTTGAGACCCATTCATGGATGGGGAAACCAATTGAGTAAGTCATAACCAGAACTTTTAAAAGATAAAATAGAAGAGAAAATATCCATGTGTGTTTTAAGGATTATGTATGATTTCATGATGTTTTTGTTTCAGGCCTGTGTGTATATAACTGGGCTGTGATGTAAAATGTTTCGCCCTGGCCAGTTTGCTCAATGGTTAGAGTGTCAACCCATGGACCAAAGTGTCTTGGGTTTGATTCCCAGCCAAGGGCATGTACTTCGGTTGCAGGTTCGATCTCAGTTGGGGCCCATGCGGGAGGAACTAGTCACTGGGTCTCTTTAACATTGATATTTCTCTCTCTCTTCCCCTTCTCCCTTCCTTGCACTCTCTCTCTAAAGACCAATGGGAAAAAAAATATCCTCCGGTAAGGATTAAAAAAAAAAAAAAAATCACACATAAAATGTGTTTCTATTGGGAGTCCTAAGTCAGAAAAAGTCAGTGTTTGACATTAGTGTTCCCCAAAGTGCATTCTAGGGAACAATAGCCTCACAGTCAGTGATCTATATCAAGAAAAGATATGATTTCTATATCGAGAAAACACAGATTTGCTCAACACAGAATACCCTGTCTTTTTCCTGCAGACTCAGTGTGTTTTGGCATACTAGGGGGTCTGAGAAATTGAAGTTAGAAACCTGCTTAACTTTGTTTAATCCAGTCATTCCCAGACTTGTTTGTCTACAAGGCCCTTTTTCTTGAGCAACACCAATTTACACCTGGCCGAACCGTCTCTGAGAAATGCTATTCCCGGCAGATGCTGTGCGAAGCCCTCCACCGAATTACCTGTTGGGTCAGCCTCTCCCTCTCCTTCTCCAGCATGTAGGTGACGTCATCTCCCTCTGCTGTGTCCTGGGCGTGCCTTTGCCTTTCCTCCTCAAGGTCTAAGATCACCTTTAAAGAATTAAAAAAAGTCATTTCTAAATATCAAGGGATCACACTTACAATACAATGAATACTAGTGCCTATCCAGTGAAGCACCTAAGACAGTCCAGAGTCAGACAGTCAGCCCCAGTCAGGGCGACCAAGGAGCACACTGACGTCACAGACAAGGAATTTGAATGACACGTGGGAGAGAGAGGCGGGAGGAGGGTAACTGCTTTGGAATGGCGAGGAAGCTGCTTTGCCTGAGGAGCCTGGAGGGGGCGGGGACTGCAGAGGAGAGGGGTGATGTCGGACAGAAAACAAGGGGCCTGCCTCAGAGTCTGTCTTTCCCAGAACAGTTCTTTGCGCCTCACCTTTATTCTGAGACATAGAATGTTGGCAGCCAGGCATCTGCTGCTAGGCCTGAGCCAGGGTCTATCCTCTGAGACACAGAATGGACAGGCTCAGGGCTCGGGAAGAGCAGATGTGACGGAGAATGGGGTGAGGAAAGGGGGTTATGTTTGTCTGGGGAAGGTGGTAAGTAAGGGTGGAGAGAAAAGGGAGGTGGGGTGTAAGATAATGAACTCCACATCTATAAAAGGAAGTAAGGAAGTGTCTAAAACTGATAAAGCAAAGAGCCGTATATTATTTAGAAATATGGAAGTTACCTACCAAAATAAGTGGTTATTAGAAAAAGTGGCAGTCTGAATGTTGAGGAGCAGGACTGGGAAGAGGTGGACTAGGGAATCTATTTCATAATAAGCAGAGTAACCATGTAATTCACTGCTCAAACAGCGCTTCTCAGAGTCAAAGGGGCGTGCCAAGGTGACGGGCAGAAAATGGACTCCCTCGGGCAAACTGGGACTATAAGCACCTCATCAGAAGCCTCTAGGTCAGCGGCTCTCAACCTGTGGGTCATGACCCCTTTGGGGGTCGAACGACCCTTTCACAGGGGTCACCTAAGACCATCGGAAAACACATATATAATTACATATTGTTTTTGTGATTAATCACTATGCTTTAATTATGTTCAATTTGTAACAATGAAAATACATCCTGCATATCAGATATTTACATTTTGATTCATAACAGTAGCAAAACTACAGTTATGAAGTAGCAACGAAAATAATTTTATGGTTGGGGGTCACCACAACATGAGGAACTGTATTAAAGGGTCGCGGCATTAGGAAGGTTGAGAACCACTGCTCTAGGTACTACATGATGTCCAACAAAGTCAGTGTTCTACTCTGATAAAACACTTAAGATTAGTTAGGCAATTGGTTTAAAATAGATAACATTCAAAGACTCTTACACTGAAATACAGTCTTAAGGAATTTGGAATTATTTCTAACCTCTTCCTTTCCCTAATCACCCAGAGCCACAAGTCACCCCTATACTAAGTACCCCTTCTGTGGGCTCGAAAGCCAGCCAGGCATTCAGCGTCAGTTACTTCCTGTCTGAAGTGGGAAAAGGCCTGCCTTCCAAACAAGGATGCGGTGAGGTTTTCTTAGAGGACTATGTATCATTAAACACCCCTCCCAACACACACACACACACACACACACACACACACACACACACACACAACACACACAAAACAAGGATGCTGTGAGGTTTTCTTAGAGGACTATGTATCATTAAACACCCCTCCCAACACACACACACACACACACACACTTTAAAGCAGAGGTAGGGAAACTTCTTTTTGCTAAGGCCATTTGGATATTTATAATACCATTGATTTAATATAATTCACTTAATATAACTTTATGTTGCTATGAAAAAGCTTCTAGATTTATTGAATTTCGAGCTCTGCCTGTGGTTGCCTTGGCTGGGCCAGACCAAATGATTTCTTGGGCCTTATATGCGGGCGAATGTTCCCCACCCCTGCTTTAGAGCAACTAACTCAGACCCATCGACACCTTTTAAGTTGGGGCATAAATGTCTTCGGATGATTTCAGCAGACCAGAGGTTACACTTTCCCGGGTCTTGGACAACTGAGAATTCCATGAAGGATATGGGGAAGTTTTCATTTTCTATGAGCAGGCATAAGCTTTTGGCATTCTGTGTATTTTTAGGGGGACCATGAACCATCTGAGGCCCATCCATCGTTGAGAACCCCCACTCTGGCCTTTTATTTGGACTCTGAAGGGGCAGAAAACCCATGGGCGTGACCTGAGTCTAAGCAATTTGTCATGTGTTTTAAGCAGATGGCTCCCGAATGCAGGTAACCATAAAAGTAAGCTAAGGTCCAGCAAGCTGCAGCTGCTAACCCAGTTTTTCAGAATAAGTTGCTTCCTATTAATTGTGCTGATGTCCTCCCTGTTGGTATAAATCTAAACCAATGGTTAAAAAAAATGCAGATTCTAGCCAAGCATGTTTTACAGGCCACATCTGAGCAGTAAATGACAAGAATGGGAATCATAAGCACTCGAATTCCAATGAGATGAGGAAAGCACAGGTTTGCCTTCCAAACTAGGGCTATAGGCCTACACACACACACTCACACACTCACACTCACACACGCACACGCACACACACTTTCTTACTAGGGTAGAACAGTTTTAAGGTAAACAACCCTAGGTACTGTTTATGGTTTCATGAGAAATAAAATGCAATGAAACTCAACACTGGAAATAAATGAAAATAATTTAATGGCTTATAGTAAGGTAAATTCTCTTTCGCTTGCTCATTCCCCAAATACCTGTTAATCTTTCTATTTATCACATAAGTAAGCAAACAGAATGCTCCGTTCAGCGACAAGCTTGGTCACACCCCAGTTTGTTGCCAAAGTTTGAATGATCGAGAGCTGAAAAAACATGCCAAGTGTTTGGAGTGCCCTAGCAAGAAGGAATGCTGTCGTGGATGTGCCTGGCACACTCCCTAAACTTAGCATGTGCAACACCCTGGCTTTCCTGCCTGCGTCCTGGCTCCACGGTGAGCTAAGGGGCTTTCTGAGACCCGGGGAACCTGCGGTTGAATTACTGTGAGAACTGGCAGCGGACCCGCAGTGTCAGGCATTGTTTACACAGTCTCCCCAAGAGCTTGCGCAGCCCGCCCCCCGGGAGCCCACCTTGCGGTGCCTGCTCTCGGCAGCGGCCAGCTGGGACAGCATCCGCTCCTGCATGTTCTTGCACTGCTTCATCACCACCTTGAGAATCGACAGTGGGTTTGTGCAGACCGGCTGCTTTTCGCCATCGTTTTTCTCCTTCAGTGTTTCAAAGTCTCTCTGTAGAGCCATTAAAGGATCGCTGATGTTATATTTTCCATAGCGTTCTTCAATGAAAGTATCTCTGTGTTGTGCCTGGGAAGAGAAAACATTGCATTTTTCTTTTTAAAATTACTGAGGAAAGGGATTTGCTAGGAGTTATACATGAAAGGTGACGGGTTAGTATGAAGAGAACCTGTTGGCTACAGATCCAATGGAGCCATCTACATGTAGAAATGACATCAGAATGGGGGCACAGTATGATATTAACGAGAACAAATACTTTTACAGAGCTAAACTACGTATTAGACGTGTTCTAAGCATTTATATTAACATTAACTTATTTAAGCTTTACAACCCTCTTAGGTAGTGACATCATCTCCACTTTGCAGCTGAGAAAACTATTAGGAGAGGTCAGGTAACCTGGTCCAGGTTACTCATCTAGCAAGTGGTCAGACTGGGATTTAACCCCCGCACCTGGCTCTGAAGTTTGTGTCCTTAACCACCACACTCCCGGCTTCTGCTTGTGAGGCTTATATTCCCCACAGGCGTATCTGGTCTTTTCTTTCTGAGTTATAGCACTTGCATTTCTAAAATATGCTAAGCATGAAATTTTGTGAGTTTACATATTTGGAGACCTATCAAGGTGGCTGTAGATAGGTAAAGCATGCTAAAAATGTTCTTGAATTATAATCTAGGACTATCTGTGATTTTTACATACAGAACTTCACTCAGTTGGTGGGTCAAGAGGGCAGAGGCACTTACAACCAGAGGTGCAGACAAATCCCTTCTACCTGCTGCCAAATTCCACCCCCTCTTCTAGTCTCTGCTCAGCTGCTACCTTCCACCCCCATCCGCCCCCTTAGAGGGTGGTGAGCTCTGAGGATGAGAGGTCAGCAGGGAATGCAGGCTGGTGTCCAGTCAGGTCTAAGGATCAGGAAGGGAGTGGAAAGATATTCTCAGGCTTCCGCTTCTCTGCTCTCTGCTAGGAAGGACTGAAGTCCTGCGTAGGCGCAGCATATAGTATGTGCCGGCAGACAGAGTGACATTAGCAATTACTGTACTCCAGACATTAAAAGTTTCCCAAGACATTTTACAAAAAGTGTTAATATAGCACTGAGAAAACTTTCTCGAAAAACCACAGCAAAGTACCATATAATGTAAGCTTTCAAATGAAATCTAGTTAAGAAAATTACTGTCATGTATCAATTTAAAAAATTATTTCATCAGGGGTTATATTTTCTTATAACCACCATCCACAAATAGGAACCCATTTGAAAGAGGAATTCACAGTTCAACAGCTATGCTTACAACAAACAAACAAAAAACAAACCCTAAATAAAATAAAGCATGGGCTTCTTTAACACAGAAGTATGTTTCAGTGCTGAAAATCTGATGCTTCCTTTTCCCTTAAACTGTTCAAGTTCAAGACCCAGGAATCACAGCCTATGCTACTCATTTGTGTTGGTATCAGGTGGCAGGTGTTCAGTGCAGTTAGGAGCACTGGGTTTTACTTCTGTCTTGGCAAAAAGATGACATTATTGGAGTCTCTGGATAATATCTGTATACTGGAAGTAGGAAAAGGGAACTCCATTTGATCCTGATAGCCATCTTCTTTGCTCTGCAGTGTGTGCGTGCGCGTGCGTATGCGTATGCGTATGTGAATTAAACAGGGGAGGGACCTGATTTTTTTTCCAGTTCCAAATAAAAAAGGAAATTTTCAGTAAAATTTCAAAATAAGCTCTAGTCCATTCAGAATGGAGAGAGACAAGACCAATTCCTGAACTGCCTATTTATATTTTATTATTATACTTCAAAATTATGGTGAGAGTAAAACAAAAAAGCTAATTTTCAGTTACATTTTATTTAAAAACATTTTAAGGGCACACATTTTTAAAAATGTTTTATTTTTTAATTGCTTTTAGGGAGGGAGGGGGAGAGAGAGAGAGAGAGAGAGAAATTTTGATGAGAGAGAGAAACATCTATCAGTTGCTTCTTGCACTGTCCCTGACGGGGGATCGAACCCACAGCCTGGGTATGTGCCCTGCGACCTTTCAGTGTAGGGGACGACACTCCAACTAACTGAGCCACATTGGCCAGGGTTCCAGTCAAACAACATGGGACTCATCAGTGTTTTCCTTCCACCAAGAACACTTGTGTCTTTATTTTCAAGTATAAAAAGATGAGATTGATAACCTAGGATTCAAGGAAAGTATCGATTTACAGCTACTCATGTCCTAAGGCAAATCCATGGTTAGAAAAATACTTGGACAAAGGAAGTAAGAGGAGAAAAAACTCTTTAAGAGGTTGAAATTCCACTTTTCCGTCACCCTTTTTATTCATGGTTACCATTTCTGTCTGATTAGCGATGGCAAAGGAATCAAAGGAATGATTACTGGTACCGACACTGTTTTCATAGGGCAACCCCTCCCCGCAAAGAAACCTTGTAAACCTGCGTGTTTTGTGACCTTTTCCTTGTCAGAACACCATGGAGAAGAGGGATGAGAGCAGGAGCCGGGGGACAGCTCATGGCCTTGACATTAGATCTGCTGAGAAGCCGTCTCTCAGGTTTGAGTATGTAGTTAACTAATCCTTAAAAATATGACTTTTTAAAGCCCGCACTGTTATTATCCTGTATAATTAATAAGCACCACTGAGCTACGAGTAATGGACAAGGAGCCTGTTTGGTGAGCCTCAGACTTCTGAGAACAGTTGTTAAGCTGTCTGTTTTCTCTTGCAGTTTCACAGTAATTCCGTAATCACTTGCATAGTAATTACAAGTTGTGCAAAATTGGTGGCTTTGCACATAAATGAAAAGAATCTGCGGAATAATTTTAAAAAGGCTCCTTGTCACAAAACTCTTCATTTAAATACATTCTCATATAGGAACAGTGAATTTGAGGTCTATATTTATTATACCAAACACTGGATTGGAAAATGGGAGACAGAATATAGTATTTTTCAATCAATTTAATGCCTCAATCAGGCGAATTGTATGGATGACAGGTTTACTAGTAATAGCACAAGTAATAACAATGACAATAATAAAAAAATAGATGTTAAGATTTGAAGAATGAAAGAGGAGCTTTAGTGGAGGTGTGTATTGGTCATCTATTCCTGCATAACAATGACCCCAAAACTTAGCTTAAACAGTAAACACTGTTTTTATTTCATAGTTTCTGAAGGTCAGGAATCTGGGAGGGGCTGGGCTGGGTGGTTCTGGCTGTGTCTCAGGAGGTTGCAGTCAAGCTGTTGGCCAGCACTACCTCATCAGGTGGACTGGGGCTGGTGGGTCCATTTCCAAGCTCACTCACATGGCTGTAGGCACAGGCCTTGGTTCCTCGCATGTGCTGCTTTCCACAGCCCAAGTGATGTGAGAGACAGACAGACAGACACACCAAGATGGAAGTCCCAGTGTCGTTTATAACAATCTTAAATGACTCAATATGCTTCTATCTATCTATCTATCTATCTATCTATCTATCTATCTATCTATCATCTAAATATATTTTTATCGATTTCAGAGAGGAAAGGAGAGGAGATAGAAACTTCAATGATGAGAGAGAATCATTGATTGGCTTCCTCCTGCACGCCTCACACTGGGGATGGAGCCTGCAACCTGGGCATGTGCTCCAACAGGGAATCGAACCATGACTTCCACTGAGCCACATTGGCTGGGCCATGCTACCACTATTTATATCTCAGGTGAAAATTTAGGAAAAACTGTCAAGGTTGAGGTTTAATACTTTAATGGTATTTCAGCTATTTTATAAAAAATATATAAATGATCTTGATTTGCCTTTTGGGGGGAGGAATTCAGTAATACAGCTGAAACCAATCAATTTCTTATAATTTCATTATTTTCATTTCAACAATAACATACACTTTAATTGCACAGAAATTCCTACATTGTCAGAAAACATAATGCTCTGTAATTTCAGACAACAGGAAAATAATCGGCTGGTTAGACAGATTCAATTATACAGGATATTACTACAGCAGACAAAGCATACTAGTCATCTATACTCATTTATTTTTACTGTCCCAGGCTGAATGAAACACCACTACTGAGAGCTTAACATAAGCCACACAATACCCAGAGCGTCTGTCATGCTTGCTCTCCAAAACTTCAGCTTTTATGACCAACTTCAAAAAGACACATGAAGCAGTCACCTCCTCTCTCCTTCCCAATACTATCTATACTATTATAGGAAATTAACCTCTTACTTTTTTTAAAAGTAAAAATTTTAAAGAATTATTTATTGATTTTGAGAGAGAGAGAGAGAGAGATTTGTTGTTCCACTTATTTATGCTGTTCCGCTTATGCATTCATTGGTTGATTCTTGCATATGCCCTGATCGGGGATCGAATTTGCAACCTTGGAGTATTGGGATGACACTCGAACCAACTGGGTCCATGTGGTCAATTGGTATTTATCTCTTGCATTGACTGAACATTTCCCATTTATCTTTTTTCCTTCCTGCCTAAATTGTAAGCAACCTGAAAAGCACTTGTCACACCTCTTTCTTCCTCCTGTATCCTGCATTATGTCTGAAGCCCGAGACACTTAGTTGATATTTACTTTTCGGTCATTTTCCTGATGTCTCAGCCTCTCCTTACTCTCATCTTTTTTGTGAGGTCAATATTTTATTATGCTATTAGTAAAATCTATGGTTTACTTGTATAATCATTTAAGGTAACAGCAATTCATACATTCAGCAAACTGACTCTGGATAGAATGCGCTTCAAAGATTACTTCTGGAGTCAGCTGGCATCCACAGATATTTATAAAAGCAATTATTTACATAAGGAGGGATGATCATTTATTAGTATTTGACTCAAGTGCACTAAATTCTTTGGAAGTTTAGTACAAATAGCCTCAGGGGGGTACTTCTAGCCGGTGAGCTGCTTGTTGATAGAAAAAGAACATGGGTAAACAGCATAATGTAGCTGCATCAACATTCAAATTCCAGAGTCCTATGAAAGTTTCTGGTAAAATGGAAATAAATGTGTTAAGGTTTTTGGGGGCTATTCCTATACATGTGGTTAAAACAAATTATATATACTTTCTGGTCTGAGTCTACAACTTCTTCAGGTGAGGAAAAAATGTGTGAAGGGATTCAACTAGTCCTGAATAAATGAATGCTCTGAACATAAATCAAGAATTTTAAGTATAATTTTAAGTGATACATTAGATCCTAATCCCTCTTGTTCAGGAGATCATATATCTCTTAAAATGAGAGTTGACACCTGCCTTGAAACATACACAAAAAACAGGGATGGATCACAGACCTAAGGATAAAATAGAAATGGCCAAAAAAGCACATCTCACTGGTGACAGGGAGGTATAAATTAAAACAATAATAAGACACGAGAAAAGCTAAAATCTAAAGGTTGACAACATCAAATGTTGGAGAGCATATGGAACAACTAGAACACTCACACAGTGCTGGTGGGAGTATAAATGGTGTAACTATGTTGGAAATTAATCTGGAAGTTTCTCATAAAGTTAGAAAAATGCCTTTCTGAAATTCCACCTCTAAGTATTTATCCCAAAGAAATGAAAACATATATTCATAAAAAGACTTTTACACAATTATCCATAGCAGCTTTACTCATACTAGCTCCAATGGAAACAATTAAATATCAATCAATAGAACAAATGTGATGCATTCATACAATAGAATACTATTCAGCAATGAAAAGGAATGAGTTACTGATGAACTTGAAAACAATAATGATGAACCTTAAAATTATTATACCGAACAAGACAAAACCAAAAAGCCAGATATAAAAGAATACATTCTGTGTGATTGTGTCCTAACAGGCAAAACTAATAAATGGTGAAAAAATCAGAATAGTGGTTGCCTCTGGGGCTAGGGAGGCTGACTAGGAAGGGGCACAGGATTACTTTTTGGTATGATGAGAATGTTTGTCTTTATAGGGGTGTAGGTCAAATGGATGTATGCATTTGTCAAAGTTTATTAAACTGACCACCTAAGATCTGTACATTACACCAGCGGTCGCCAATCTTTTGGACCTCATGGACCACTGGTTGGCGACCGCTGCATTATGCTCTATCTAAATTATATCTCTAGTTAAAAACTATAAAAATACATAGTGAGCACTAATGGGAAAATTAAGTTCTATGTAATATAAGCTATTTTCCAGAAACATGGGAAGTTCAAACCAAAGTTATTTTAGTCATGATAAGAACAGCAGAAACAACACAGGGGGCACTGACAGTGGAGCGCGCATTGCCTGTCAGTCAGAGTACCCGATCGCTATGCCTCTAACCTGACCTAACCTACAGTATTCCCTGGAGGTAGGCATCACTCTGTCTGCATGTCATAGAAGAGACTGAACATTAACTTGTGGCTTTCCCAAGGTTACAAAGCCAGTCAGTTAAGTGGAGAACAGTAAATGGTACATAGTTAAGTATATGGTATTCAGTTAACATAACTGAATATGTTAGCTGAATGAGCAATACATAGACAGGTATTCCCCCCAGGACTCTGTAGGAATGAACTTCAATTTAGTTCGTCTCAATCAGTAGGTTAAAAATGAAATAGAAAACATCGCAGAGCACTGAAAAAAGACCTTTCGAGAAGGACTTCTTTTGGCATAAGAATACAGGGGTGTGTGTGTGTTGGTGTGTATGTGTGTGTCCCTTAGGTTACAATATAAAGTCAATTTTTCATGGTGTCCCCGTCAAATAAGTTTGAAAAACACTAGAATAGAATGAAGAACCCCAAAGTCTGACTCCTGAATCTATGAGTTTAAACAGTTTAACTTAAGCTATAATAAATATGTAAAAACTAAAAGTAACAAGGAATCAGTATAATTATTTTATTTTAAAGTAATTAATGTGATAAAAGTCTACCAACCAGAAGTTCAGCCTAATATCAAATCTACAAAACACAACAAACAAACAAAAATCAGTGTTATTAGGGTTAGATAGCACTGCTGAAGTCGGGGAATTTTCTGGACTTGGGTGCTTCACAGGGCACGTGCTTTGGATTTTTTCATTGAACACTTACTCTGCTGGGGACCAAATATGCTAAATGATGTAGGCGATGATCTGGGGACACAGATTTGACTAAAGTAAGATTACATCCTCTGCTTTTAAGGAGCTGACAATTTGCCAGACAAGTTTAAGACCTAACAGCAGAAATAAACAAGTTGCCTTTGCTTGTTAAATGTTTTCTAAACAATATCATTAATGTTTAAAGGAACACCAAGTACAGTTTGTTTGGTCAGAACTTTCTAAGACTCAGACCTTACACTTACAAGGAAAAGGAAGGAAAAGGCCAGCCCTGGAAGTGGGCGGGTTCTGGCAGATAAATGGGACTATCAGCAGTTTAATGAATAACAGGAAACACCATGAGGTTGAGAGGGCACACAACCAAAACCCGGCTCTGAAGTATATATAGAGACCCAGCCTGCAGACTAACTGTGTGTGATACTGGAAGTAACTGTGACCTTGAAAAACCTCATTCACGAATGATGTGCGCAGGCTCTTCCGCTCACTGTGTGGTAACTGCAGAAACTAACTCCAAG